AGGGAGGGAGGAAGGAAGGAAGGAAGGAAGGAAGGAAGGAAGGAAGGAAGGAAGGAAGGAAGGAAGGAAGGAAGGAAGGAAGGAAGGGAAAGAAAAGGAATTTGCACTGTCACTACATCGTATAGTAGCCACTATGGTTCCTATTATGATGAAATACATTCATTTTCCCTTTAGCTATTTGAGGAAAACAAAGTTTTGAAATGACTAATATGTCTAGAAGAGGTATATTTCTCCTGAGAAAAATGGTAATTTCCCTAGTAGTTCAACTAAATGCAGCATATTTTCTGCTCTTCTAGTAAATGTAGCTTTTTCCCCACATCTACTCAGTTGCCAGATCCTGCCAACTCTTGTATTTGCTTTTTTTCTATTTCCAATTTTCCCCCTCATTTACTCTTGCCTGGCCATGTCAATGATTTTATAATTGATCTCTTTGTTGCTAAAGGCAAGAGGTCTTCATCCCCACCTGTTGCTAGTGGGAGTGGAATTCTTGTGATAACCCAAGAAAAATAATTTTCTAAGACTCGCCCTGGAGAATGAGCAATTTTTATTTGTGTAGAATTAAATCCCTGAGTTTCCAAGGTCCTATTTCCCTTTGCCCTGCCATAGAAGAAGTGTAACTGGGGCTTCAGCAGAGCTAAAATCAGATCCAGTGTCCAGAGTTTCCTTTCCATGTTGTAGCAGAGTCCAGTCCAGCATCAGGCTATCTTAGCTTGTGTTTCCATCTGCAGTCCATTAGTACACTGTGTGTGGGAGTCCCTATGACTGTGGGCCATAGGGGTGAATGCAAGAGAGGTAAGAGCCAAGAGTAACAAGAGAACCAAGAGTCACAAGAGTAACAAGAGAGAGANTTAGGGGTGAATGCAAGAGAGGTAGGAGCCAAGAGTAACAAGAGAACTAAGAGTCACAAGAGTAACAAGAGAGAGACAACTCCTTTGTTTAGGGGATTACATATTCCCAAATTTTCATGGGCTTGCAGTGGCCATACCCATTCTGGCCAATGATCTCCATTCTCAGGCATCTTTCCTAGTCACCTCAACTTCACTGCTCATATGACTCTCCTGTGTTGGACCCCTTCCCCAATGATCTTTAGGGAATGAGCCAGGGGTTCCCTGGGGAATGCAAAGTTGCAGCTTCCTGGTGAAGCTGCCCAAATAACATGCTTGCAATATCTGGCTTCCCCCTTTGCTCCCTTCCTATTATTAATAACTAGCTAATTACAACAGTATCAACTTCATATGTACTGTCTGAGTTTGAGATTTTGAAAAACAATATAAGATTACACATCCATGCCAATTGTTTTCTTCTAAGGCACAAAAATTTGAGGAGTACCAGTTGGTTAAGGACAGTGGAATATAAGGGTGGTTTAGGTAGGTGTGTTTTCTTGGTTGTCCCTTGTTATATCTCCCTGAAATCCCTTTGCCCTACTTAGGTGCCCTGCATATGTTTTACATCATGCTGTTAGTCTGTAGCCCACTTATACCCACTCCCTCCAGCCTTGACTTTTACTTAATTTTTCAAATACAGTTTATATTCAATATTATTTATTAGTTTCAGGTATACAGCACTCCCCCTGATATTTCAAGTACCCACCTGGCACCATACATTGTTATTACAATATTATTGACTATATTCCCTATGGTATATTTTACATTTCCATGACTATTCTGCAAGGACCAGTTTGTGCTTCTCAATTCTTTCACCTTTTTCACCCAGCCTCCCCCCCCAACCCTCCTCCCCTCTGGCAACCATCAATCTATTCTTTTTATCTATTTTGTTTGTTCATTTATTTTGTTCTTTAGATCCCACATGTAAGTGAAATTGTGTGGTATTTGTCTTTCTCTGTCTTATTTCACCTAGCATAATACCCCCCAGCCTTTATTTTTGTATGCAGCTATTTATAATTCTTACAAACTGCAGCATAAATGGAAACAGCTGTACTATAGGTGTATGCTAATACATTTGCCTTACTTGTGGTATAGGCTGAAAAGATGTTCATCCCTCTTAAGGTTGCTCCTTAGAAATTAATTTTTGGCCTTCTACTTTTAAATATGTACATACTATCTCCATAGGCAATTGCTCTACACTTTGCTAAAAGATGGAAATCAAACACAATTCTGATTGACACTTTTTGTTCTTCATGGAATAATAAAGAAATTCTGTTACCTAAAATTCTGCGTAGGGTCCTACACAAGTTGATCCCAATCTAATAATCCGATAATCTGACACGAATCCTTTTTTGGAACAAGACAAGCTGTGAAACCATAAATGTACAAATAAATTACCAACCTTTCTTTGCAAAGTCCTCTTTACCCTACCTAGAACATGGTAAGCTCTCTTCTATTTCTGCAACTCTTTTTTTCTCATAGTGCCCTCACTTTTTTATGTCTTTTCTTTAAGAACTAGGTTCAAACTCACTTTCTCCTTCAGGCATTTTCTCACTGCCTCAGCCCATCATATGACTCTTATTGTGGTTCAAATCTCTATACTGAATGTAACCTTTATTCTTTATCTCCCCTTCCTATTACTCCCCAAGTTTTAATGAGTCTCTTGTCACAGTGTCCAGGAATTACTTGGCCACTGGAAATTTTTAGTATTAATTTTTACCCAGATAGCCAGACCTTTAGAAGTTAATGACATTACTCCATTCTTCACTGAAAAATTGTCCCTTACATCACTTGCATTAAGGTCTTAGCCACCTCAAATCATAGAAGGTAAGCAAAGCAACTAGGCATCACAGTTTCAT